ATTTCCCATCCATGGTTATTTCTTTTCGTGCATTCCCAAAAATGCATGCTTTAGGATACAACTCCACACACATTATCACTTTAGAGCATATTCATGTTCTTTCATCCTTCATTTGTTGTTTAGCATCCATGTTTATTTCTTTTCTTGCATTCCCATAATCTTGCTTGATTCTCTGCCTTCAACAATTGAAATATGGGTTCATACATGGTCAAGCACGATTCTTTGTCAATCAAGACACCTTTTGAAATATTCATCCGTGGAGAAAGCTTTGACCAACAGAGGATTGAGGAGATCTTTAACTGCAAGCATTTTTCTCCATCGTGGACAATTGCCAAGTCCAAGGGGCAAGCTTAGAAGGACAAGAACCAAGAGCAACCTCGAAGATCAAAAGCTCAAGCACATCACACTTTATATGGCTCTAGCAATCAAGGGATTCTCCAAGGAAAGGAATGCAACTACTCATTGAACAATCATACTTTGAGAGATCTAGGAGTCAGATTTTACTAGGAACTTGAATGTTACCATGTTGATGTACTTAGTGTGATGTACTAGGCTTTTACTTTGTAATGAATGACCATCTTTGTAATGCATGTTGAACTACTTGTAAATGTCTTCTATGCAGCCCTTGGAGTCTATGGAAATCTCAAGGGGTTCAAAGATATTTTGCTTCATCCAAGGCTCCTTAAGGATTGGAAATCAACAATGTGTGAATCCATATAGCAATTGTTGAAACACTAAATCATGCAAAATTATGGGATGACTTCTAACATTATTCTAACTTTGTTTATTTTTTCTTTTACTTTTTGTTTGCAGGTAGGCTTCATAAACTACTGATGAGTTTAATTTTTATATGCATTCATCTACCCTTTTTGAGCCTAGAATTAAATTTTATGGGTCTTTTGTAACTTAGTTTCACCTTTATTTATATTAAATTCATTATTTGTGGGTGGAAATTAACATAGAAATTAATTTTACAATAAGTGACAATTTACATATGCTGCAGTAATTTAACCATATCTTTTTCTCTAGGTATCAGATTGAGTTGATTCTTTAGGCATTGGAAAGCTAAGAAGCAGAGCTATAATTGATGTTTTATGAGCTCAACCCAGTTCCTTCTGTATCAATACAGAATTTAAGTTGAAAGTGACGGTTTTGACAATAGACAGTGCAGAAATAAAGAGACTTGGGCTATGTTTTCTAAGTGTGGGCCAACTGCAGTCCAGACCCAAAATAAAGCCCATAACCCATGTCTGCTAGGGTTAAAGGAAATAAGGGTTCTAATTTCTTGATATATATAGATGCTACTCGGCAAAAAGAAAGGCAGCCACACAGACGCAAGAGAGTTGTTCTGTGCAACAGGTCAAGAGCCGCCCAAAATCCCAGCCATCCGCCTCTGTTGTTCACTAGCAGAAGAAGAGGACAGCCGCACGAGATTGCTCTGCACATTGGAGGAAAAGTCACCGCCCAGCCTACTCGGAGGGACCCGAATCCAATCTGCAAAGAGGACCCTGAAATCTGCTTCTTCACCGCCCAGCCTTGCTTCCGGACAACAGCACACCATTCGGCAAATTGCAATTCTTTATAGTTTGGGTTTTGTCGTTTCTGAGTTTTTTTTACTATGATTTTTTGCTGGGATTTATTTTTCATGGCTGTTGAGAACATAAACATGCGTGGCTAGATTTCTTTGAACTAGGGATGGGTGGATTTTTTTTTTTTGAAGTATGTGACTGTTTTGTTAGTTTAATTTAAGATTTATTGGTTATTTGCATGATGAGTTTCTATTATTGAATTTAATGCATTGAGAGCTTGATCACCTTTCAATTGATTTAGTGATTTATGCATGAACTTGAGAAAGAATTGTGTAAATTAGACCAATAATAATATAAATCGTGTGCTAGACTATGAGACCGAGAGGTAATTAGCTCACATGTGGTAGTGGAGGAAGAGAAGAGAGTTAGTAACTCCCCCTTCTTAAGCTAGAGGTTTTCATAGAATTTAATGCTAATTAGTTTGTTTAAAATTACATAGAGATATGATTAATTTAGCAAACAAATGAAGGATTAGCTTGACTTGAGAAAGCTGGTTAATTAATTTAGGGAAATCCGCCATCTCATGCAATAACACTATTATTTGAACTTGAAT